ATGCTGTATCGCGTTTAATGCAGGACAAGAGGTTCCCATCATCATGTACAAATACATCATGTATCAAGTAGGAAGGTGCAACTGTAGGAAGTAAAGGTAATGGATTACCTGCATCTCATCAAATGTGTGAACCCACAAAAGTTGCTCTAGCTTTCTAATGTCTTCTTTTCAGTTCAGTCTTATGGCTCTCATCACATAAGAAGTGTGATTTCTCGGAGCAGCAGAATCAAACATGTGTTGCTCCACATCTCCTGGATGTGGAAATAATTTTTACCTCCGCCAAGGAGTTTACGTTTTTGTTGTTTTCTTTCTGTTAGCAGAATTACAGAAGAATTACCAGAGACGACACAACAGAAATGTGATGGAATGATGCAGTTTCAGGTTTTGTCCTGGAAACAGCAGCTGTTTCAAACCTGAAACTGGTTAAGTTGTTGAGATAATAACAACACACTGATTAAATGTCAGCTTGTAATTAAAGTCTAGGATTAATCAAGGCCTGTAAACATATCTCAAAATGTCAGTGTAATAGTTCATCACTTTATTTGTTTTATATTGAAAATATGAACTTTAAAAATGGGGTCTTCTGGATTAATAATCAATGATTGTGCTCATATATAATGAATTGACATTTTGCTTGTTTCTTTGTGTCTATGACGCGACGGCAACTGAACCAATAACAGCCAATTACAAACTTGGGATTTACAGCCATGTGTTGATGGACGAGGCTGTCTTTCTCTCCATCTCTGTTCACGACATCCAGCAATGCAGTGACAAAAGCTTTAACTGCTCAGCTCTTCCCATTCTACATCTCCGGTGGCCATTACAGCCCAGAGAGTCCATTCATCATGTCTGTCTGTGGAGAAAACTGTGGCTGGTTGACACACGTGTAAGCGATGGGCAGGCAAAGAGAATCCATAATTGCTGGTCGGCATGGAACACGAGGTCTCTATAACGTTCAAGTTACAAGTGGGAAATTGTGTCATGCTTATAAATAATAATTTCATGCACTTAAATTAGTAATTTTTAGTTTGTTACATAAAATCAATTTTAAGCAATGCCAAAGATTACACTGTAAAACCCTATCTGACAGCAAAATACGCACACATATGCATATAAACATGTATAAATCGATGTTAATGCATTTGGTTCACCCCTTTTTGGGATTTCAAGAAACCTAATTTGCAGCAATTGGTTTATTTCAGACGTGCAGGATATGGGTTTAGTTTGCTGGAGTAACTGAATCAAGAACAAAAGACAGGAAACAGGGTGTGTAATACATAGATAAATATATGTCAGTAAATACATTCAAACAGAGCAGATTTTTCCAGTTGTCTCCAACATGTTTACATCGGCATACAAATGATTCATGACCCAACACAAACCACCAGTTTACAACCAGGCAACACAAGGATTTGGAAGTTGTGTTTGGATCATTTCGACTTCTCCTTGTTACCACTGCAAATGCCAGCCAATTTAATCTCTGCTGTTTGCAATCCGTGATTTATATAACTGAGTATCCTCAGGCTGAGTGTAGCACACTGCAGTCGTCACTGAGAAACTATGGTTTGCTCAGCAGCAGCTGCGTTTCAGTCCATCATTTACACGACTGACCAAAAATGTCAGTGCCTGATCCCAAACATCAGAAACATGTTGCATCTACACTGGTGAACACTGGATTATTTCTCAGGGATAATTTCTGCACACAAAATAAAAGATGTGATAAAACCAAAATTCACTTCACTAATAGGGGTTTCTTCTCCAGAGTGGGTAGCGGTAATGGTCGCTCACCAAGAGCTTCAGTCATTGTTGTGTTGACAAGAGTTCTGGTAACAATACATCCTCTGAGCAGAGCTACTCCCTCAGAGCACACTGGACATTTCAGTGACTCCCAATCTTAAAATCAAGTGTCGTGCAAGGAAATGATAAAAATGTGCAAGGACACATGACTTGTTTTGGAGAAAATGTCATGGCCACCTGGTGGCTGGATGGAGAATGGCAGGTGTAAGACACAATTTTGGCAAATATTCACAGGGCCACGACAGGAATCCTGATGTATAGTTAGCAACTCGCTGGTGACGAAAATTGAAGAGCCAGATTTTTCCCTCAGGAATTGGTGGAGACCAAAGCCACACAGGACACAACAAGTGAAGGAAGGGGCCGCAGAACACTGTACTAGTAGAAGAAGTAATAAAAATGGGCAAGGACCATAGGGCAAGGACACAACAGTTTTTTGAGGAAACTCTGATGGAGGAATGCAGGTCTCACATACTGGCAAATTAATCATGTGGCCCCAACAGGACCACAGTTAGCAACTCGGTGTCAAAATAGGAAATACATTAGGTGATTTCACGATCCAGCGATTTCCTGCAGGTCTGGCTGGAGACCAAAAACTGACTGGATGCAGTGACTCACTATCTGGAAGTGAAGAGCGGGCCCAGAGCTAGCATGTTAGCATGTTGACTTCAACTGAAGCAAAGATGTGATAGAAATAGAAGAAGAATAGAAGTAAAGAGTTTTTGATGTTGCTTGCTACCTCTGTGGACGGGACATGGTGTTTGATGCTGAACAGTTCTGCTAAGGTGTTAATGTTAATGTAGGCTAGGTGTTAGCTAATGTTAGTTAGAGGGAACCGACAGGTAGCAGCGACATGTAGCATAAGGAAGAACTTAAAAATAGTAAATGTTATTTCATGTTAATTTTAAAGCTGCTCCATTCAATGTTTTTCTAGTGTTTTGAAACTGTGACTCACACTGACTCTGTAGCGCCCCTTCAGTTCCAATCAGTCGCTTTCATCTTGGTTTTGTTCTGACTGACCACAAAGTAACATCAGCATCATGCATCAGCTTGCTCTCAACTGGCAAACAAGCAAAAATAAAAAATAAAAGTTTTACGAATACAGATTCTGTGCTCTTAACAATAAATGTTTGTTTTTTTCACCAAACTCACACAAGTGCACAAACTCCATTTTACATCAGGCCAGAGGTTCACTCCTGTCACCACTAAGAACCGCGAAGAAACACACTCAAATATTATGTTTTAAAATTCAAAATGGATAAATACAACCGTATATAACATCATCTAAACTGCGACCCCTTAAAATCAGCTGCTACCAGACTCAATTTCATTTTTTCCTAATCTGGAGCCCTCGGTTAGGATTTAAATTGATTTCCTTGGTATATCTCCATGATTCTCACATACACAACATTTCTGCAGTTAATTTCCCCAGAGGTCAAAGGTGAATTGCTCCCTGCAGCAGCAGCAGCAGCTGGAAGTCCAGTGACTCTCCAAGGAGACTGTGACTGTGGGGAACGTTAACCGACCCTTTGACCTCTGGTTGATTAGACTGTCTGTCATGTGTTTGCACACATTTGTGACCTGTCAGTTAAAAATAAATTTATAACCAAGAGAAAGCACAGCCAACAAACACGTCTCAGAGCAAGAGTGAAAGCCCTCGTAATTAGATTTGTGCTCTAAGAATTTATTTCACACATACATGGTTCAGATAAATGACTGGAGAACAGCGTGTGAAAAGATTACCGCAATTGAGGAGTTGGCAGCAGCACAACACAACTATCTGTGGCACTTTTCATGTGAACATTGTGAAAATTTCTGTATTTAAACGATTGTTGCATCCTCCTGTGAATGTGGCCATTTGGAGCAGCCACGAATACTTTTGGTCACTCGTGTGGTCAGACAACACATCTTACCAACAATCTTAAAACTCAGACCTTTACTTTGAAATCCACAGAAGGCTCATGCGCTCTGTTCCATCTGCAATTTAACTGACGTAAAACTATTCAAAATCAAAACATCATGCTGCAGAGCTTTACATTCAGTGTCAGTCGTCAAATTAAACTGAAAATAAAAATAATTGACTCTAAACTTTTGCAAGTCTCATCAGACACAATACAAATAAAACCTTAAATCACTAAGGAAACAATGTAAAGATCTGAATCTCTTTAGATGATGATAACAAACTTTTATAATTGGACTCTAAAACACCTGCAACAAGAGAACATATGACACCAGATTTAGGATCACGGCACTGGCCAACTGTATCATTGAGGATTTGATCATATTTAACTTGTTTTAAAGCAACACTATGTAGCTTTTACTGAGCAGCAGTGCCCTCTGTAGCCACACGTGGTGATTTATTCTGTTGTGCTGCTTTAAACAAATACACCAAACTCTGTCATCATCTTTGAGAAAAAATCTTCTAACATTTAGATTTTTTGAGTGTGGTCTATGTCCCATCTGCAAACACGGAGGAGGCTGGGTTTATGATTTATGCTGCAGCCAGCCACCAGGGGGTGATAAAGATGATTTAACTTCACTTTTGGGAGCTGTCATTTTATCCATCCTTATATATAGTCTGTTGTTTGCTCACACAATTTGGTTATGTTAAGGCAACAAAAATACTGGGTTAACCAAAAGTCCATGAAAGACTTTAGAATAGAATAGAATAATCTTTGTTTTCCAGTCGAGGCAGGAACATTTTCTTTGGTGTCACCCATAAAAATCTCCAAATTTCAGATTATATCATGTCACAATAAAAACAGGAAAACCTTCTAAAGAGTATACAGAATTGACCAGATGAGTTTGAAAAACAAACTGTGCACAAAACATCATTTTTCACAGTGACGCCCAAACATCAACCCACAGGAACGAGGAGATAAAACATCTTTTCAAATTTTTTGCTGGTTTAAACGTAGATGTGAAAACACAAAAACCCGTGGTGATGTTTTCAGACTTTTACGAGAGTTTTCTGGCTGACTCAGCAGGATGTACATCAGGCTCCTGCACAATCAAAATTAATGACACAGCCCATTTTTTATTTCCCACCAAATTTTATGAATCTGGAAGAGGCTGCCGAAAGCTTCCATAAGAAATGATCACATTTTCAAACCATTTTAATGGATATATCCACTAAAATGAAACTTACACATTCAATTTTGACTTTATAAACAATAAACAATAAACAGGACCATGAATCAGTTAAACACACTTGGGGATGAACTCCTGGTACGATTGGCACATTAATGCTGTTAGCAAATGTCAGATAAATATTGCTGTGGAACTGACATCACTGACTTAATGATTGTGCTACTGTAATGCTCCATTTCAGCATTGTCCTGTAACCTCCTGCCACAGCAACATTTTCAAAGGATTTAATGTCTCAAAATGTAAATAATTTTTTGATGTTAAAATACTACACATAGCACTGCAACATATGCTGCTGTGCTTTCAATTTTGGCAGGAAAGCCAGTGGTCTGGCTCCACACCTCAAGGAGCAGTCCGCCTCATCACTTCACTGTCACCCTCCCATTCCTGTACGTGACTCAGCACTGCTCCTCCCCCAGAGAGTCTGTGTTCTCCACCAGGTCTATGGAGGCCGATGCAGCCCTCATCTTGCCCCGTCCTGGGCCAGGACCTGGACCTGGTCCCGGACCTGGACCACCAACGATGATCCCGGCTCTGGTTCCGCTGTGTCCAGGGTAGACGTCCACAGTGCTGGAGATGGACTGGAGGGAGCGATCCCGAAAGTAGTGGAAAGCCTCCTGGTCCAGGTAGTTCTGCTCCTCGCGCAGGCCCTGCTCGAACAGCTTCCTCTTGTGTCGGAATTCGATCACCGTCTTGGTGTAGGAGTTGAGGGTGGTGACGGAGGCAGCCATGCAGCAGGTAAAGGAACCCCAGGCCATGCTGGTGAGAGTGAAGGGTAGGAGAAGAGAGGGTGAGTCTCGGCTCATGCTGTAGTTACTTGTGAGTTCTCGCTGATCATGTCTCGCACCCCTTGGGTGAGAGCATAGACGCTTGTGTGGCATGTGCGTGAACATGAATGCGGCTCCGGGCTGGGAGGATAACAGGGGACATTTAGGGTTAAATCATGGTGCAAATGTTGCAGTTTTGAGGCTCACGGACACTTGGATGACACCACAGGAGCAGTATGGAGGCATTTTATGTTTTTGTCTGTTTTAGTTTAGAGAAGTGGTCGTCATTTACTTCAATTGTTTTGGATTTGGCTGTTTACCCCTGAAACGCCAAAAGTGTTTTGTGGACTCAAACACTTCACCCGCCCCTCCATCGGCATACTGGTGAGTTTAATGAGCAAGATTACGCTAAGCCTGTTTACTGAAACTTCAACAGGGAAGCGAGACATTTCTCATACTTTTAGGTGCTTATACTTATTGTTGTTTAATATGAATAGAGTCCTCACACCAGCACATAGACTTCAACTCAACTGATGTACTTGTCCCCTTGAATTTGGGGGAAAAATTGTTACCAGGAGAAAAAGCTTGCATCACTTCACTTTCCTTTGTGTATTCTAATCACATAAACACATTCTGCATGTGAATATGAAGAATCTGTAGGAGAGGGACTAGATTTTTGGGCAGGAACCCTCCTGGGTCTTGTTTCTAATTTGACCAATCACGTTTGAGCAGGCTTTGGTTGCCTGCAGGTAAACAGCCCATGTGGAGAGCAAAAGATATATTGGCCAAAATGCATCAGCTGTTATTAGAGACAAGCCAAAGTGATGACTGGTCCTAAAACAGAGAAACCTCATTTTGTCCCTTTGAATTCGCAACCTTGTTCTTTAGGACACTACTCAGAGCTCATGACCATAGCTGACGGTATATTCCATAATAGAAAAAGTAATTCATTGCTAGTCATGGCCAAAATACAATTCAGGGGAATTATCTTTCAACAGCTATCTTATTATTTTTATCTTTCTACAACTATCTTTCAACAGCAACCATTGTCATATTTCTTACATGCAAGAACAGATAATTTTTTGTTTTGGTCCTATCTCAACCAGAAATTTGTGAAGTGTGAAGTCAGCCTGAATGATTTTCATCCTGACAGTAATGCTGCTACGCGTCAATTATTTGTTATAGTTCAACTTATTTGTTGGTGTTCTGGATGGATGGAGGAAAGAGTTTTTGAGACAACGTCCCCAGGCTCGGTCACCAGCAGGACAGAAATGCCTCGAGGAGAAATACATTTTTGGCCGGATGGAGAAATTTCCTTGGGGACTTAAACTGCTCTGAGGAAGCATCTGTGGTGATTCAGTGAATACTCAAAGTCTTAAGCCTCACCCTCTGCTCCAGTTAATGTTAGCGGGCTCATAACTGATGGGCTGCTAATTGACATACTGTCGAGGCCCTGGAGAAAACCAGTGCCATATTAGTCAGTTAATAGGACAGTTAACAGTCCCTCTGTGCAGAGCCGAACGCCGTACGCCAAGAAATATGTCAAGAAAAGATCCTGAAATGTGGCAAGACTAACATAAAGAAATGAGAGAATGAAATAATTGAAAACAACTGGTGCCATCCATCATTCTTTATCCTTAAAAACAGGAATCCAAACAGTGGTATCATTTAAAATTTCATAGTTCAATATCATCAATCACTTTTTCCTTTTACGTTTTGAGCTGAACTATTACACAGAGGAGGCTCAGAGTGTTTACACACTTAACAGTGTAGAATTGCAATAATAAATCAAATGTGAAATACAGAATAAAACACCAGAACATCTACTACGTGGATTGACATCGGTCGATGATGCCCTGATAAACATTATTACTATGCCAGTGGTTGGCTCAGGCAGTAGACTTGGCTTTTGATGTATGTCGGAAAGAAAAAGTGGGAATGAAGAAGTCCAGAATATCAATTTAATGACCATCTCCTACATAATGTGACAGTGAGTGATATGTGAAGGGTTGGTGAGGCTCAAAATAACTTGGATAGATTTAGGGAAAGATCATAAATTGGGTTAAATTAAGATTTTTCTTAAGGTTAGAAGACTTCCTGTGGTGATTCTGTTAGGTGTTTTGTTGTGGTGTCTCTCCCCCTCCCCTTTTCTGTTTTCTCAGTGCAGGTTGTGTGTGTGGCAGGGGGGCGTGGCTGGTTCCTGGCTGCAGCGACGAGGCGCACCTGATCTCAATCACCTCATCATCCCCACAATAAAAGCCTGGTCCTGACTCCACTACTCTGCCAGATTATTCCGTCCCGTCCGGTATTTTCATGTGCTGTCGATGTCCTCGACTCCCGTGTTCGTTTCCTGGATATTCTCTAACCCTCGTATCTCCTTCCTTCTACCCAGTCTTTCCGTGCGCCTCGCTGCTCCTCCATTCATCCTCGTCTCACCCTGGATCATCGAGCCAGCCTGCACCCTGCCAYCCCAGCCTGCTCCTGTTCTGTTTGTATAAATAAACTCTGTTAAATCGCTAACCACCAGTCTGCGTCTGCTTTGGGGTCCAACTCGTTAACTAAGCCTAACACTTCCAACGTCATGGTAACACTAATAAACATGCGATTACAGTTACGAGTGTGGCCATGGTCAGTTTGAAATGGGAAGCAAAACAACGGTCTCCCATGTTAGTTTGGGTCCTTTGATTTCCATTCTGGAAATATATATATCTTTACTTAGTTGAGATTTTTAATCCAGGACTTTTGGAGTATGGAGTAAGTTAAATGTGGAGAAAATGAAAAACGTTTTCATCCTCCACTGGACTATGAGGTCTTTAACATCTGCCTCTTATTAAGTTGATTTATAGAACATATGAACTTCTGCACACATGTGAGTTCACATCATTCCTCTATCGTCCTCAGAATAGAGCACATGCACACTTTTTATTCCCCCTGAAGGAGCTTTTCCTCCTCCTTTTCGCCTCCTGCTCCAGCAGAGGTTAATCATTCCTGCTAAATTTATTCCACTTTAATGATCCTGAATGGCTCCCTCTTGGTGTTAAATGAGAGCCCTTCACTCCATTCACTGGAGAAAATCTCCTTTTACCAGGAGCTGGCGTTCCTCTTCCAGGTGTCACATTTTATTTGTCTTTTCTGGTCTTAAAGTCTTTGTATGCAGCAGCTTTGTTTTTGAATTTGTTTATTTTCTGTTTCTTCTATATTTTATATTTGCAATGTTGGCATTGTTGACCACTATACAAAGAAACTAGAGTTTATCCTTTTAGTGGTGCTTTCTGTCATATTACCTTCAGCAGGTGTTTCTGTTGTCAGGAAGGAAATTAAAGCTCAAACTTCATGATGCTTTTTACTGTTTACTAACCCTGCTTTCTGCCGTATCAGTGCTGTTGAGGGAAGGAATCAACCACCTTTTGAGTTGGTTTCAAAAATCTCCATCTATGGACTAATTCAGTGGTGAAAACAGCATTGCTTTGTGTGTACTGTGTATATGAGCATGTGCACTGACCAGAAGGACCAGCCGTAGTCCCAGCTGTGAGGCCTCCAGTCTTCAGGACCCAGACTGACGGTGATCTGGAACACCTGAGTGTACATCATATGGGCCACCATACCCAGAAGACCTGCAACACCCACACACAGACAGACACACACACATGTATATGCATATGTATAAACTGTGTAGACAATACAAAGCTGCTGTAGAGGTCATTAACTAATAAGTAATTTGATGATATACAAATGTGGTGAAACATCATGATTGACAGCTGAGACTGACTGACTGACTTGGTCGAGCGCCTGTATCAGAGGGAGCTTGATACCATGGCTTCACTCCACAATCGCTACTGCACAGATGGCAGCATTCATATCTCTGATCCTTCATTTCTGGAAAGTGAGAGGAAGTGGAGACGTGTTCAACAAACTCTCTGTGGACGTCTAAACTAGATTAAACTGTGGTGAGTCGTAGATCACAGCAAGGATATGAAGCTTTCTAACGCACGAGTGCAGAAGAAGTTGAGCACCAGGATTCCTCCTGGAGTTGTCCGTCTCTTTAAAACATTGAGGTCAAGGAGGTGAACAAGAACCAAGAAACGACACTCGAGCAGGGCCACAGAAGTTCTCTGGAGAGGCTACAACCTACACAGACTCTGACTGCAAATTATGTCATTGCCACAAGATGGCAGAGTTTGTATCTGGGACATTTTGGCATAATTTCTGTATAGAGGAGACACGTGTTGTCCAACTTTATTCACAGTCTGAGTTTCACTTACTGGCTTAGCATGGGAGAATGAAGATGATTTCATGTGATTTTTATAACCCCACTTCATCACTTCACACTGATCCACAACAATATATGAACAATTCAAAGTAAACCATTAAAATTGATGTTGGATATTGAATGTCCTGATAGTATGATTTCGCTTGTTTTTAATTAAACGTCACCATCAGGGCAGAATTTTAATTAATTCCAAATATTTAAAAAATATGTCATTCATAAAATTTATTGGGTGAATCCTTTGGCTCTTGAACGACCCAGTGACCTTTCCTCTGGTGCCCTCCTCTGGACAAACTAAGGGTCACACTTTGAGAAGTGTTGTCTTGCTCTTTCATGATGACACTAACAACCCGCTCTGATAATTAACATAAGCAAGGGGACAGTAAATCACAGAATTACAGCTCAACACGTCATCAGTAATAAATCAGAACACATGTAATTATCATAATTAGTCATTAAAAAGTATCAATTGATTCAATGTGCAGGTTATGAGGCATCAGATCAATTAGAGATAGGGATGTAATCACTCATAAACATACAGTAAATCAAAATGCCACAGTGTAAATGAGTCAATGTAGTGTTAATTCCGAGGTTATACATCACAAACACAACGACAGCAAATTGTTTTCTGTGTGTCACATGGAAGTGTATGATGGGTTACAGTCATGTGTATGTCTGTGTGTGTGCATGTGCGCCATAGTAAACAAACCTCAGCCACTCAAGATTTGCAGTTAAACATTAAGAGCGTACCATTTCTCCTCCATCTTCACTCCAAGACAAAGCAGATTTGAGTGTTTGCGTGTGTGATCCAGGTATTACTCAGGTTGTGGGGACCTCCACTTCCTCCCACTATCCAGAAATGAAGCCAAAATATCCCAGATCCTGAGCTGATGCAGTCACCTGGAGTCAGAGTCTGCGCAGTAGTGGTCGTAGAGTGGAGCCACAGTACCGAATCATGCACTTGACCAATCGCAAGTCAGTCTCAGCTGACAATCATGATGTTTCACCTTGCTTTTACATCAGCAAAAAAATAATTGAAACCAAACTCATTTGTCTTTTACAATTCAAGACTGTGTTCTGTTTAGCTAATAAACAACTGAACTGAACCACTCCCACTGCAAGTCTTCTGATTGATACGACCACACAGACCATACACAGTAGGTCACTTAACTTGTGAAATGAACCACAGGAGTGTTCCCGAGTACAGTGTATGAGATAGTAGTTGTCATAGTGACACTAATAAGGAAGTGGTTTTGCTCATTACCATGCATGACCACCAAAGGTTGCATAACAATGAAATGCAATGGGTCATAATAAGCTGCTGCACATAAGATACTGATTCTTGGAGCATCCCAAAAACATTTTCCTGTTGAAATATTTTCCTCAGGTTCTCGTGTCTTTGAGAAATGTAATTCAGATCAAAATCATCCTGTGTCATGTGAGTAAGTGGAACTTGGTTAAAAACATGTAAAATGTGCTTTAACATTTTTTGGTGGGTTTTTTTGTGAAAAAAAAGGCTACAAGAGAAGGAGAGAGGCAGTGACCAGTAAGCAGCGTGGTGGATGCAAAGCCAACTTCTTGCATAACGGGCTTAAGTTGGGAGAAAAATCCTTGGCACCCAACATGGTGAAAGGCTTCCAAGGGATAACTTCTGGAAGACCTCTCATAAATCTTCCTCACATGCTTTTACGTCTGAAATTACTGTTTAAATGGTTTGTATTTTATATATAGTGCTTTTCTAGTCTTGATCCACTCAAAGTGCTTCACAGTACAATTTGCCATTCACCCATTCTCACATTCATACAGTGCATCTATGAGCAGCACTTTTTGTTCTATGAGGGGCAATTTGGGATTCAGCATCTTGCCCAAGGACACTTTGGCATGCAGATGGGGAACACTGGGGATTGAGCTGCCGACCTTCTGGTTGGAGGACGACCGCTCTACCCCTCAGCTATAGCCGCCCCATTATTATTATTAACCACAGTTTAACCTCTGAGATTGGTCAAGTCATACCTCATCAAACATACAGAACAGGTCACACAGTAGTGATTACTTCTAGGTAGCATGAAGGTGTCATATTTTGCATAGTATTCTATTATAGTATCAATCTATCAGGTGTTGTCAGGTGTCTGTCTTACCGGACAGCACGGTGAAGACGGCTGCGAAGGCATTGAGCTTGAGTCCGTCGATGACGTTGCTGGAGTGGAACAGCTCCAAACACATTAGACTGAAGCCGACCACCAGCAGCAGAATGTAGAGTACCTCTGACACCACCGACAACCACAACACACCTGCAAACACACATGCACACACCAGGAAATGTTTTACCAAGAATAAGGAATCCATGTAGATGTTGCTAGATGACATCTCAAAATCGCAGAATCATGACTAGAGAGGATCTAGAGGTCCTTTTAGTTACTCTGGGGGGTTGTATCTAAGTGTATGTGATCTAAGAGGTACTATGGGTGGTTTTAGTTGTCTTTAAAAAGGTTCTAGTGGTCCTTGGGATTGTGTTCAGGGTTTTATGGGAGGTTTCAGGGATATGGTTTGATTTGTAAGTCATAAGAAGTTTCTAGAGATCATTAAGACTATGTTCAGGGTTGTTCAGAAGGTTTACTGTAAGTAGTCTGAAATGTTCCTCTTTACCCAAACTTTGTTTTTTTTTTCTTACAATCTAACAAACAAAAACACAGTTCTGTTGGCTAAAACCTGAAAATAATAAGTCTATAATAAATCCATTCTCACAGAAAAGGACAAGCACGAGACTGAGCTAAAGTTCCCATAAAACAGACAGATTAGATAGATGGTTGTACAACAAACAAACAAATAAATAAATACAACATGATGCAAAGTGATGACCTATGCCCCCTGTCATGTGAGATGTAAGGACTACAGGTGAGATATCAACCATCTAATCAGATGAAAAGAAGAAAAAGAAGAAGAAATTTCAACCATCTAATAGGAATACTTATACAACAGGTTTTTTTATTTTAACACACAGAGCTGGATTCATATCAGCAGCAGGTGAAGCATCACGATAGAAACGTCAACCAAACATTTCCTGCATAATTTATTTAATGTAAAGTTTTCTGTGAGGCTGGAATGAGGCGAATGATTCTTTCACAGAGAAGTTTATGTGTGAAAAGCTCCAGTTCAGGGAATCTGGTGAACAACTAAAATACTAACAGCTACTGTGAAATATAAGAGGAGGAGGCCAGAAATGATTTTCATTAATAATCTATAAGGCATCTTGTTATTGTTCTGTATCTCCGCTAATGTGATCAATCGTCAAAGACAGGAGATGGATTTCTTCAGAGTTGACATGATCGGAATCCTTGAACTGGTATATTAGTTAGTCAGTTTCTCAGCTTATTGTCCTGGGAGAGGAAACTCAGCTTCACATCACTGTACATTTACATTCACCTCTACAAACCTCGTCCCATGAGATAAACACTGGAAACAGTACACAATCAACAGCTACAATAACAAACGAGGACGTCTCATAAACATTAAACACTGGCGGACAGTAAGGAGGCATGGCTGGGTCGACAGCAGTACATCTCATTAAGAGCTGCCAGTGGGCCCTGTTGCACTTTAGCAACCTGAACCTGTTTCCTGATGGCTCCACAGTTGAGGTTGGAGAGGTTCGGGTGCGGGAAGTCTTATTTTGTTATGCGTAGTTTGTGGTCATAGATGTTGGTTTTGTGCGTCTTGTGGCAGAGAGCATGTTAAAGAAACATTGTGGAGCAGTAACACAGAATGAGTTGGATGATACTTTTGTGCAACAGTAGGAGAAGAGGGGGGAAGACATACCGGTAGACTACTACATTGATGTTTTATATGTGAGTACCTATATAAATAGGTACAAAATGATATGACATATAGAGTCATATCTATATTGTAAATCATACAGACTATTTATACATATATGTATATGTTTTTTTCAATATCACATACTTAATGCACAATGCAGTACACATCCACTTTCAGTAATCCTGTGCCACCACACTTTACTGAAGTATTTCTCCTTTGTAAGTAATATTTCTTTCTGTGGTGAAAGGTGTATATTATGTACATGTTCTCTGTATTTTATTTTTTATTCAATGTTTTTATCATCTACTTCATTGTCTATTTAATCTCGTTAATACTTTCACTTGTTCCCTTGTCTACCTCATTATCTGCTGCTGTAAGTAAATTTCCATAGTTTGTGCTGTTGCAGCAGAGCATTCCCCAAATCTCTATTATATATAAAGTACCTGCTATCTTAAATAATAATTCTGATGTGGCCAATCCATTTTGACTGGAAAATGATTTGGTCTTCAACGGTGGTTTTCTTCAATTTGATTCGAGTTATTCAATTTAAGATGAGGTGCAACGGCTGCAGACCGGCGAGTGAGGAAGAGCATGCTGAGCATCATGAGACACATCACACAGATACAAGATGAGAGAATAGTACAGATCCAGTGTAAGAGGGTTTCTATGTAAGAGGGCCATGACAGTAACAGATGGGTACAGGAAAACGCTGATGCTGTGGACAGTGGTACTCAATGGTGCAAAATTAAATGGCAGGATAAAATCACTGGCTGCTCCCTGCCTTCTCTGGAGGGCGTCTCCAGCTCACAGTGTCTCTGCAGAGCCAAAGTGTTCACTTTACTGCCCTTTGATAGATGTGACAGGACCATCAAATCTTGAACACATAGACTGAAGAACCTTTTTTTTCTTTTAAAATCTATTCTGACATGTCATAAATATGAATTTTTTGGTGCAAGCTTATATATAATGTATTTATTCATTTCGTGTTCCTTGGTTTGTCTACATTTGCACTGTTTTGTGCAGCAGTAGCACCTCTAATTTTATTGTGCTGCTTTCTTTTACGCATTGACAATAAAGGCTTTCTCTTCTATTATGGAACATAAGCAGAATTATACTTGAAAATTAAAGAGCCACATTCTTTATATTACCTCGCCTGAGTTTGTAAAGCTGATATCCAGCAGGGCTTCATGATTCTGGAAAACGTTTTTTTAGTTATAATGTCATGTGCATGTATGTTGTATTTTTGTTCCCTCCGGACACAAGCCAAGGGGGGAGGTTTGATTGTCCTTCATATTAACCCGTCATCATTCTGTGACCTGGTGTTCAATTACCCACATGCTACTTTGATGAATCTTTGGAGAACAATGATTCGTCCCTCGTCTACAGGCAGGACATGACACTTCCAGCTCCAAACAAGGTGAGATGTTTGTTTCTGATTGGCCTCAGGAGGAGGGGGGGTTGTGTTTTCTGTATCCTCCTGCTTTTTTTTTTACATTCATCAATTGGCCCTTTACTGTGTCACCCTCTGGCCATACAGAGTAGCTGAAATAGACAATTCTACTGTACTTCTTCATGCTCTGGAAATCTGAACGTTTTTTAAAGCAGAGACGATTTGTCATCTTGTTACCAAAGCTGCCCCCAGGTCAGAAGTCATGATTATTTTTTTTTTGTCTTTACATCACTCTACATTTATAATTTGGAAACAGCAGCAGCTCCTCTTGAATCGTTCTGACTAACAACACAGAATTAAACAGGATTATCTCCTGCTCTCCGCTCATCTCTGTCGGGGCATGTGGATGATGTGAAAATAACAACCCACAGGCTGAGTTTTCAATTTGAACAAGAGTGAATTTGGGGGGGGCGCTACAGGATCCTCAAACAGCCGATACTGATGGTTAATTTTGTGTTGTACTTCTCTCCAGGCAACACAAGAACCTTACTTCTATGTTAAAGACATAAAACAATGAGCATAATAAAAGCAGGCAATAAGCAGTTTGAATTTTAATTGAAAGCAGTGTTAAATCTCAAGGCAAGTCTCAAATCTCTTAAAGGTTTGTTCCAGATTTCCACAGCTAAAAAAAAGAATCTGCAAAAGTCAAGTATCAGAGCATTGGGCAGCCACTGGTGAAACATTGTTATCTAACATTATGTCCATCTCTTTGTCTTCTCCTAGTAACTGCCATCAGTGTTCTCACTTCTTCTTTATAGTAACAGGCCTCAACTTACAGAATTGGTTGGATCTCACACTGAAAGTCATGTTGTCAGACATGTCCACATGTTGTGGAAATTGAAGAACACAGCAGGAGCATTCAGGTGAAGGGTGGAGCCTAGTTAGTGTAAAGGAGACAGGTCTAAATTCTGCTGTGGAAAGTGTAGAGTTTAGAAACGTCATCAACATGCCGTCTCACTCGTTGTGAATTTTCTGGACCCAGTATTCTCATACTAGGGGGGAGGCAGAAAATAGTTCCTGAACATGTCCGGAGCAACTGACTTATAACATTTGTGTTCTCTCATACAGACCCTGCAGGAAATTTCAGCAAACTTGAGACTAAAGCAGCTTAATACAATATTTTTATAGTAGTAATAGTTTTCTGACATGTTTGATTCTGCTACTAAGACATGATCTAATAAAAACAATAATAGCATAACTGAAATACATGTTCAGGACATTTTTATAATCTATTAATAAACCCGGTTTAAATGTCTTCTTTCATTCTTTTGATACAGAGGAACATTTTTTCGCGGAGGAAATTATGGGTCTCTATTTTTATTGCCTCACAAATCAGAAAACTCAACAGCCATAAAAAAAAAAATTCTGTGTTTTTAAGATTTGCATTGTGACTATAATATAAGTAGACTAAGTGCATGTCCCTACTGCTAACATGGTGGAGGGAGGGTTTGTGACCCATAGGTTGAGATTGAGATGCTTTGGCTTCACTTTTGGGAGCAGTCATGGCGTCCATTTTTATTTACTGTCTATAGTTTGAACCCTGCAAGTGACAGCTGACCTCATCGTCTCAGACCTGATTTGAAATGAAAGTGTAGTATCGCTCTGATACAACAGTCTGACATTTACTCTCTGGTTCCTTGTTAGCTAGAAGTTTAATTTCCAACCAGTCAATGGAAACAAATTCCAAGGGTATAAAAATGCCTGTGAGGGAAACTCACAATGCAACATTATTGACCAAAATAATTCTCTCCCGAGTTAGCGTCTTGTTGAGTATGTATCAGCAGACTGAGACTTCATTAAAGCGAAGAAAGCAAATAAAATGTGTTTTGAGGGACTCAGCCAGCAGCAGTAATAACAGGAAGGAAGCAGCTCATCAGACCGAGTCTCATTTCAAATGGATTTAATTACATCTTTAATTACTGTGTATGCATGTGTGTGTTTTCACGAGTGTGTCACTCAGTTTCTGAGTGTAATACATTTCTGACACCATCTTTCAGGGGTCTTCAAACAGTTTCCATGTCAAGAACC